ATCAAATTTAGCTTCTGATGGAATGCAAGACGATTTTGCTCACACTCTGTGACTCCATATTGATTGGGACTGTTAAATTAACCTGAGAGCTAAATCAATTATGGGTTCTAAGAGGTGGCTCAATTGGCAAGAGAACTGGTTACAAATTCTTAGCTGCATTAGAAGTCATAGTTCTCTCCGGAAAGGTTGTGAATGCTTCTGCTAGTGTGGTTGGACTCCTAAGATTCACTGAAATTCGAAAAGAATAGTTTTTTTGAGTTACTGGACAATAGAGTACTCGAAATTGTTTGTCTGATTCCGTCATTGTTCCGTATGTTTCATCTGTTTTGTATGAGTACTTATGCGCTTCCTGCATTGGACAGCCCATTGGCACTTGCTCAGGCTTACGAGACAAGAGACAAGCTTATGGCTAGCCATCCGGAGTTAACCGAAGAAGGGGCGATAGAGATCAAGATCATAAAGACAACAGGGGACAAGATCCTTACGCAGCCACTTGCTGACATCGGGGGGAAGGGGCTTTTCACGAAAGAAATAGATGAGGCGCTGATCAGCGGAGATATTGACATTGCTGTCCATTCTATGAAAGATGTCCCTACTTACTTACCGGATAAGACTATACTACCTTGCAACCTTCTGCGCGAGGATGTCCGTGATGCATTTATCTCCATGTCCGCGGGGTCGCTCGCTGAACTCCCTGCTGGAAGTATTATTGGTACGGCTTCACTCAGGAGGAAGTCGCAAATACTTAACAGATATCCTTCACTCCAAGTAAGCCAACATCCTGTTGTGATAAACAAAAGGCATCCTATGTGTATGGACATCATGATCATCTCGCCAAGGCTATTGACGTGTTAATTCAGTTAGTATTTCCGGATAAACTATAAATGGAATTTATCATGCATGTGACTATTCGTGAAGTTTCACCATTTTCTACAAAGACGACGAAGGCCATGGCGACCAACATATTAGGAGTTCCTCGTATTTCTTTTTTCATCTTTAATTTCTCATTGTGGAAAAGACTGATAATATATTTCAAGGACTGTAATCAAAGCTTATCAATCAAAATAGCGATGCTTTTTCTCAAAATTTCACTGCACCATCTATGTTGCAGTTGCGTATACGGTTTGTGTTTTGTTGGTCAGCTACTTAATCTTACTTTTGGCTAATTCTAACTTGCAGGTCCAGGAGAACTTCCGGGGCAATGTCCAGACGCGATTGAAAAAGCTGAGTGAGGGAGTTGTTCAAGCAACACTATTGGCGCTGGCTGGGTTAAAAAGGTTAAACATGACGGAAAATGTCACTTCCATTCTTCCAATCGATGATATGCTTCCTGCCGTTGCTCAAGGCGCAATTGGCATTGCCTGCCGAACTGATGATGAGAAGATGGTGGGTTTTTTACTCTGATATCTAGTTAAGGGCTAGCAAATTATTTTCGCTCTTAATAAAAGATCGAGCACAATTTATACAGACGACCCCGGTTAGTGGGATACAGTGTTGTTGTCGTAATGGATTTCTTTTTCACAGGCTAATTACTTGGCCACTTTGAACCATGAGGAAACAAGATTGGCGGTTTCTTGCGAGAGGGCCTTTCTAGAGACTTTAGATGGGTCTTGCCGTACTCCTATTGCGGGATATGCTTGTAAAGGTGAGGATGGCAATTGCATCTTTAGAGGATTGGTTGCTTCACCTGATGGGACCCATGGTAAGTTGACCTTGGACCATCTTGTACTTATGCCCATTCTTCATTCCACTGGAGGATGGGTAATTGATCTGAAGACTAATAATCTTTCTTTACTGTTTCGTTTAAATATCTCAGTGCTTGAAACTTCAAGAAAAGGCCCATATACCTATGAAGATATGGTTTTGATGGGAAAGGATGCTGGCAAAGAACTTCTTTCACGGGCAGGTCCTGGGTTTTTTGATTCTTAAGTAGTCTGATGATTGAATAAGCAGAAGGAATTCACTGAGCCCTCTTTCTAACTTGTTGCGCCCAGCAAGTTCATCATCATTTTGAGCTTTTTCCTTGTATTTTAACAATTGATTGTTTGTATTGTAACTAGAAGAGGCTTTTTTTAATGATTAAGTCAGAATGTAGGTTGTTGGTTCTCTAGTGAATTGAGTTGAACTGTTCCTTCCTCCCTCCCTCCCTTCCTCCCTACCTCCCTACCTCTCTCCCTCTCTCTCTCTCTCTCTCTCTCTCTCTCTCTCAATGTGTTCGACTAGTGTAACCCCAAATGTTCCTTACACGTGTTAGCTGTGGTGGTACTTTTCAGTCTTCAGCTTTGTTCTGTAAAGTATGGCCCCAATTGTGAAGGCTGAACCTATAGTGGAGTATGATTCTTTATGCTATTCTAAAAGGGAATACTTATATTTCCGAATTTTTTTTATAGATAATGTGATGGCTGGCGACAACGTCAAGAGTCTTGGACATTTCAGACTAAGTTTGCTGTTATGACCTCCTTTTCTAGTATTGGCCAGAGTAGTCCTTTTTTTTTGACTGAGAACAATTTCCAATGTGGAATTTGAAAAATCCCATGAGAGTAGATCATCCATAGATCACTGTTGAATGTGCACCATTCAAGTTTAATACTGCTCTGTGGATCTTTTTAAGAAGCTTCTGATCTTTGGGTGGATCATATACTAGATTTCTTAACCATCATGGCTCTCTGCTTACCTCAACAGCTGATCTTTTTTTGAGAGACAATTTTCTCATCCTTTTATTGGGGTATTTATTGTGGAAGTGGCTAGCATTAGCTTGGTCTGTAGTGTTGTGTTGTGAATAGTTCCATGTAATGCTGATTGCAATTGCTAGGCACAGTAAGCTTCGTTACCAAGGAAAAGATTACTTGATTTTGATATTGCTTGAGTTTGCAGACAGCCATTCAACATAACGTTTTCATCCAACTGAGAGCAGGTACCTTGATACTTTAGCATTTTTTTCCTCATTTGCTGCTTCTTTATAACTTGCTGTTGGTACCTACTGCTACCAGTTTCTGGCTTTTTTTTTTTTTTGCGGTTAATAGATGATGGCTCAGAATGAAACTGAATATAATCTTCCTTGTCGGAGTGGCTTATCCTCTTAAAATGGATTTCCAGCTTTCGGGGGAACTGTCCGTGAACAGCAGCTTGCTAATCGAATGTTATAGAAATTAAATCATGCTATTTGGTAGGTTGTTGTCAAGTGAGAATTGCTCTCTTATAGAATTCCTTCATTTCATGGATTACCTAGAAGTATCTTCTTCATGATGACATTTTTATCCCTAACTCCCATTTTCACTCTGCTTCTCTGCTGCGTCAGGTTTTTTCAACCATCTAGACTCATGTTTGGCTCAATTTTGCTTTCCGTTTTCTTCTCTCTGCTCGTAACAGCTGGCCCTTTTGCCTCAGTGCTGCTTTGGTCTTCTCGTATGGACAGGGCAGAGACAGCAGTATGCTTTTGGCTTTGCAGCAGATGAATTTTTGTGTGAAACTAGGAACTAGAAAGCTGTACGCGTGCTACTTCTCGTGTTGGTATTGTTTGTTTGTACTGGTGGGATCACTTGAAATCTTCTGATTAGGCCTTAGATGACTTTGCTTCTTTGTTAAAGTGATTTCTGCATTATGTTTGATGGCCTCACGCTAAGGCCATTTGCTTTGATATTGAGAATCATACGTCTTTGATTGGAGCGAGTGCTATATTTTGCCTTTTAGAATCTTGACAGAATGACAATGACATTTCTTGACCTGAATAGGAATTGTTTACCTAACTTGACCCCCTTGGGCCTTGGAACCATTTGATGACAACTGATGTTTGACCCTTTGATGGCAAGCCGGCGCAATGCTGCAGCAAGGCCATGTGAATGCAGCCCTCCGCATCCGCAGAAACTGCAATGTCTGAATGTTGTTTTGTCAACCGTGTCATCGCTTCCAATTATGACGATAGGATTTCATTTCCCTAAATGGGTGGTTTCAGATCTAATGCTGTACTATATGTCAATTTTTGTCGAGCATTTGCTCGATTTGCTTTAGGACTAGATTGATTACTGGGATGGCAGTGATTTTCCCCCCGTTGCCGCTGCTTCAGAGGCAAGAACTCTGTTATCTTCGATGCCCGGCTCATGTTTCATTTTCATGGGGTTAATCTTTCTTCACCACCTGGATTTCGACTCGCATCATGCGCGGTTCGTGAGATGAGCATGTCACTTCACGGCTGGGAGATATACCAGACATCACAAACTTGATCGACCAAACCTGATTAGACCACAGGGGAGGATCAAAGGGGGATTGCTCTGACCTTTCTGGATGACTTTCCATTCTTGTTACAGATTGTTTTGAGTAAAGATGATGCTTTTCCCCCCAAAACAAGGAAAACTAGAAAACGTGTGATCGATAAGGCATGGAACTAAAGTTGATACTTCCTAAGACAAGGCAATGGCACCGTAATAAGAAGGCCCCCCCAATTCAGGAATGGCGTTGAGAAACGAAATCCTTTTGTTAGGTAAGCCTGCCTTGTTTATATGCCAATAGGGTTCTGTTATATAAATACTATCAATAACAAATTTTCTCAATGACTTCAGCTGTGAATAACATTTTCTGATAAGCATTCCGTCATCGCAACAGCTCAATAGGTCATGTCGTATCTCGACCGGATTGATCGAGTCACAAAACATCACAGAAGAACAAGCAAATTACACAACTTTGCAAGGAAAAGGTTGGTAACAACTGACCAAAAAGAAGAGAGTAAATTACTGGATTACGTATTCTCAAAGGAAAAATTGAAGAGATTCCATGCGAGAACAAAAATCTGATGCAACAATTCTATCAACTCTTACAAGTACAAAATAAAAAGAAAAGGCAAAAAAGAAGAGGAAAAGCAAAAATATCAGCAGAATTTGGGCCACTCCGGACGACCAGATTTTTCTACCTTCATCCTAGTCGGTCTGCAACACATCTCTTTCTCTCTCTCTCTGCGTCGTCTTCTTAGCCAGACATACTCTCTCTCTCTCTCATCGTTCTCTCTCTCGCTTCCTCTTCTTGACACCCGCGAACCTCAAGAAACCTAAAACCCTCCATTCGCACCGCCTCTCCCTCTTCTTCCTCTGGCTCGTGCGACGCGGGGCAATCTCAATTGGGTCGGCGTCTTTCCCCCTCGCGCGTTCGCTGCCGCTCCTCCGCGGAGTTTCTGTTGATGGGTTGAAGAGAGGGGCGCCAGCGAATCGGAAAAGCTCGGAGCTTTGGGAGGGATACATGGAGTGGGACAGCAGCAGCAATTCGGATTTGAGCGGGGATGAGGAGGAGTCCGGGTTCATGCTCAACGACGGCGGCCCGATTCCGTTCCCCGTCGAGAACTTGATACAGATTGCCTCGCCCTGCGGGTTCGTCGTCACCGACGCCCTTGAGCCCGACCACCCCATCATTTACGTGAACGCCGTCTTCGAGATGGTCACCGGGTATCGCGCTGAGGAGGTCCTCGGTCGCAACTGGTCAGTTCCTAATCTCTCTCTCTCTACCCTTCTGTCTTCTCTGGTTGTTTGCATTTGATTGAGAGATGGGAGAGGTGCATTTTTTGTTGTTGTTTTTGGAGATTAGGTCATTAGCTTTGCTGTTATTTCCATGTGTTCTTGGGATTATGTTGCGGTTAATTGAGCGAGCTGGTTCCGGTAATTTCAATGGACTGATGTGAAATGATGTTGTTTCTAGCCTTTTTATCTTGTTTTTAAAGCTGGAAGGTTTTAGTTATCCCTAATCTGGAATGAAACCGTGGGAGGTTTTATGTGGAGAGAAGTACTGGATGGTGCTTTTTGGATGTGCCTGAGGAGGCTTACTTTTTTGTTCTTATGCTGATCCCTTCCTGAGAAGTCTTGGTGAAGCTTCGGTAACATGCGGCATCAAGTATGATACTTGATTGTCTTTTTACTAATGTCTAGGTGGTCGCTTGCTCCAAAGAAGTTACAGGCATGGACTATTCGATGGAATTTAGTAGTTGTGAACATTCTGATGTTTTGTGGAAACTATAGTCATCTTTTAACTATGGAATCATTTGTTTGTGACTCTTTTGACAGTTTCATTTCTAATTCATTCATCTTTCTTGCAAATCTTGATAACAATGTTGCTATATATCAAAATTGATGGAATACATTCAGATGCATTTTTGTCAAAGACATTGCTGAAGGAGAATTCCATACTGAAATTTTGAGTGGTAGAAATGTAAAGAACAAATAGTATGTGGAAATTTATTTTTAGCCGTTTGCATAACTGATTACGCCTTATCATGAAACATGGCAGATTAGTGCGTGCATTTTATTATACCTATCTACAAGAATCTTTTTCTTGGGGGGGCGAAGGGGGTGGGTGGGTTTTCCAAGTTCCGTCAAACAAGGAGCTGTCTGGTTGATGAGTAATGAAATTCCAATACAAGAGTGACTGAGTGTCGATTGCACCATTCTCAAGATTGAAATTGGCTTGCTTGCTGGAAGGATCTGCATGGATGAAATTTTGAAGGTGGTGAAAAGATGTGGCTTTACATACCATAGATCTTGATTGAATCATTTCCATTCGATATGGCAATCACCCAACGCAATGTGCTGTGGCACCTGCGTGGATGCCTCATTCCAGCATGGTGTGAGAATGAGGTGGGAAATTTTGATATGATGGAGCATGCAGTGGTGATTAGGGAAAAGGGCAGGGCTGGGAGAGGAAACTTTTTAGTCCACCTTTATCCCCTTGCCTCTTGAATGCATGCGTAAGCACTCAAAAGAAGGTTTGACTAGAGGCACAGATTTTTCTAGAAAAAGTTGGTGGGAACATAATTGAGGGAGAAAGAAGTTCAGTGGAGGTGGTTTGACATAGATTCTAGGAAGAGCATGCAACTTTCATAGATACGCAGACAAAATGTGTACTATAAGACCTAGCTGAACATGGTCGGGGGGCCTAAGAAATATTTGTTTAAGGTGGTCGGAGATGAAGTGTAAATGGCAAGTAAATAATTGGTTGCGGTTTGAATGAAACAATCATAGAGGCTTAGGCTCAAGATATGTCACACGGTGGGTTCATGGGGATGCTGAAATACAGAAGCTTACTGAGAGTCATAAATGAGGATAGAATGCTGCATAAGCTCGTGATGAAATGTTAAAAGACAGAAGTCATACCAATGATATGAAATTGAATGTTGGGTGGTCACAATTCAGCGTGTGCATGAAATAAGTAATTATGGTGATGATTAGTCTGTAGATTAAATGGTGGTATCAATTAAACGATCGAAATTTTTTAGGCTCAAGATATTTTACGAAGTTGGTGGGTTAATGGGGATATCATGCATGAGAATGGAGTGGATGCTGAAATACAGAAGTTTACTGAGAGTCATATGTGGGGACAGGATGCTGCATAAGCTCGCGGTGAAATGTTAAAAGACAGAAGTTATGCCAATGATATGAAATTGAATGTTGGGTGGTCATGATTCAGTGTGGGTATGAAATGAGTAGTTACAGTGATGATTAGTCTGTAGATTTTCTGGCTTTGTGTTTGAAAACCAGTCGGTATTGCCTATTTCAACTTTTCTCAGGGACCCACAAATTTCTCCTGTATGGGGTTGCAATTTCCTGGACATATTCTATGTCAAAGGGATTGGGCAACTCTGAGTAGGCACCAGAAATTTCAGAAAAGGGCCTTGAACATGCAAAGAATATGGACTAGGAGGATACTCAACTATGTAGGGTGCAATAGCCAATCCAAGTTGGTGGTATTGGAGTTCGTATTCAACCTATCCTGAATTGTGTTTTTAGCTGTCTGTTGATGTCATTGTTGCCAGCTACAATGTTTGTTGCTTCGACCGAAGTTGTAACGATCTTGGAGAATAGTAACAATGCATAATATGTGATCCAGAGGCATATAGAGAATCATGCAAGAATAATTTTATCGTTGAGTTCCTACATAATCTGGTATTTTGAAGCTTTAGCATATGCATAAACTGTGTTGATAAACTGTTTTAGATGAGAAATTATGAAAGGCATGTATGCCATGTGGTTTTGACTTTCCTGTGTAGTGGCAATTAGTGAAAATATAATTTGTAGGAACGAGAAAGGTCCAGCCCTGTTTAATTGGCACTATTAAATGGATTGCAGAAGACTACTGAATAAACTGCTGTTGTACTGGAAACTGTGTAGTTGGCAAGGTATATAGCTTCGGTGGCTAATTGGCAGGATGCTTGTCATCATTTCTAATGTGAACGCAATTTGAATGCGTCATAATGAGCACGAGGATATGTTACTTAATCATATGATATCTTTATTAGGATTATCTTTGAAATGGCTACTGAAGTGGATCAGTCACTTAATGATAAGAGAAATAAGGGATATGTGACCTTTGTTCTTGGTGATGGCATTGTACGAACTTTTTAAGTTCACGTGTGAGAGGTTGGCGGGTGCAGTGTTGGATATTGTTTCATAAGAAGTTCCTTTACAATATTTTTATGAGGGTAAGTTGGTACATGTCTTGATCAGATGTGTATGAATGTGTTCTAATTAAAGAATATCAGTGTGCTGAACTGCTTCAGGAGCTATGCTTTTGGTGCCTTCTCTAAGTCTACCTACATCTTTTGCTGTGTGATTGATTCATAAAGAATTTTGGATGAAATATTACTTGTCCAGAGTCTAATTGCTAGTTCTGATTTGTTCCGTCTCTGAAAGCACGTGGACTATAATCTAGGTTCTTGCCACACATTGTGGATTAGTGGTCTTAAGTCCTGGATTGTTGCTATTGGGTCGATCTTTTAGGCCAGGATTGTTGAGACAGCAGCATGATTTTGGGAGTTGCTTGTTCATGTTCATGTTCATGTTCATCTTGTGACTGGATAGTTGTTTTCTTTGCAATTTTTTTTTTCCTTCCATGGCCCATATTGCACTTCAACAATCATTTGGTGTTACTATGATAGCTTCAACTGAGTTGAAATCTGTAGCCTCCAGGATGCTGATTAAGTCTTAGAACATTTTATACATGTTTTGTGGTCATTGCGTTATCTTCTTTTGGGTCGTGTGCTCCTGAGTCTCCTCTTGTTGTGTACCACTATTAGGATTTACTGTCTACTATTTTTGTATTATTGCAAATTTAGCAGGTGTGTGTCAGTGCACGTGGTGTTAATAATTATACCATGTTTCTGAGTGAGTTGCTAACTATTGCGGTCTCTTATTATACCTAATTCCATGAAACTTGTGCAGTCGGTTCTTGCAGTGTAGAGGCCCATTTGCCAAGAGAAGGCATCCTTTGGTGGACTCAGCTGTAGTCGCAGAAATAAGGCGATGTCTAGATGAAGGGATTGAGTTCCAAGGGGAGCTTTTGAACTTCCGGAAAGACGGATCTCCATTGCTGAATAGATTGCGGCTAACTCCTATTTATGGAGATGACGAGGCAATTACTCATGTTATTGGGATACAATTCTTCACTGAAGCCAACATTGACCTTGGTCCAATATCTGGGAAGGATTCCGCAAAATCAACTGAACGGTTTCGTACTGGTCTATACTCTCTCCCTATGTTGTCAACGGGGGATCGAAATGTTGCACGTGGGTCGTGTGGGATATTGCAATTGAGTGATGAGGTAATTTCACTTAAGATACTTTCAAGATTGACACCAAGAGATATTGCAGCGGTTGGCTCTGTCTCTAGACGATTCTACGCTCTCACAAAGAATGAAGACCTATGGAGAATGGTCTGCCAGAATACATGGGGAAGTGAAACTACCCGTCTCTTGGAAACTGTGCCTGGTGCAAAGAGACTAGGTTGGGGTCGGCTTGCAAGGGAGCTGACCACCCTCGAAGCTGCAGCTTGGAGGAAGCTTACTGTTGGAGGTGCTGTTGAACCCTCGCGATGCAACTTCAGCGCTTGTGCGGTTGGCAATCGAGTTGTCCTCTTCGGAGGTGAAGGGGTTAACATGCAACCAATGAATGATACTTTTGTATTGGATCTGAACTCTAGCAATCCAGAGTGGCGACATGTCCAAGTCAGCTCTCCTCCGCCAGGTCGTTGGGGTCATACACTTTCCTGCATTAATGGGTCCCACTTGGTTGTATTTGGAGGCTGTGGAAGGCAAGGCTTACTTAATGATGTTTTCCTGCTGGATTTGGATGCAAACCCCCCAACATGGCGGGAGATATCTGGATTGGCTCCTCCTCTTCCGAGATCATGGCACAGTTCTTGCACCCTTGATGGCAGCAAATTGATAGTCTCCGGTGGTTGTGCGGATTCTGGCGTCCTTCTGAGTGATACTTTTCTGCTCGATCTCTCGATGGAGAAACCGGTCTGGAGAGAGATACCGGCTGCATGGACACCACCGTCCCGGTTAGGGCACACTTTGACGGTTTATGGTGGGAGAAAGATACTGATGTTTGGTGGCTTGGCGAAAAGTGGGCCCCTTCGATTTCGTTCTAGTGATGTCTTCACAATGGATCTGAGTGAGGAGGAACCTTGTTGGAGATGTGTAACAGGAAGCGGAATGCCTGGAGCTGGAAATCCGGGTGGCGTACCTCCTCATCCAAGACTTGACCATGTGGCTGTGAGCCTTCCCGGTGGGAGGATTCTCATCTTCGGCGGATCTGTTGCTGGTCTTCACTCTGCCTCACAACTCTTTTTGCTGGATCCCACCGATGAAAAGCCCACATGGAGGATACTAAATGTTCCTGGGAGACCTCCGAGATTTGCTTGGGGTCACAGTACTTGTGTTGTTGGAGGGACGAGAGCCATTGTTCTAGGGGGTCAAACTGGGGAGGAGTGGATGCTCACTGAGCTCCATGAGCTATCGTTGGCAAGTACCCTTATCTGATTGACACGCGCATTAAATCATGGCAACTTCTGCTGCAATGCAAGATCCTGGATCAGTATGACGTACTCTTGATCCAAAGTGGTGTTTCTGTGACTGTATTTCTGAGAAAGTTGTCGCTCTGGTCAGGACTGCATGTTAGGTTATCGGCCCTGTTTTTTCCTGTGTGACGTAGTTCTGGCTTGAGTCAAGGTTTTCAGCCAGTGACTTGGAACAGTATCAGATTTTTGGGAGGCCGGTAGAAGAATCTCCCCCTTGGCATGAATAGTGGATTAATTTTTGTTGGTAGATCAGTAGTACGTGGCCATAGTTTTAATTCACCTTCTGTAATTTGAACTAAAGTAAAAAAAAAAAGAGGAAAAATGCATGCATGTTTATATTGAATAAGATACTCTCCAGTCAAGTGTGGTGGGTTATTGTGTCTTGCTTTGATATTTACTTCTGCTTTGAATAGGTGTGTTTAACTTTGGTAGAGAGAGATTACCTTTCTCCTGGCTTTTGAGCTGGGAATGACCCAATGTTGAATGTATAATCCCTGTTAATTTTGGTTGCTAATGAAGTATTATATCAACATTTATATGTTTTTTAAGGTATTTTAGTTGTGGCATCTTATACACAGCACAGTTATGGGCTAAGTTTGCTTCTGGAGCGACATACTGCATGAGAACAACCATTTGAGATGGTTTGTGAATGAGTAGGGGCAGTCGGTCTTGTTCTAAGACAGATGAAGTAGCCATTGCAGTTTGTGACCTCATTGTACGTATGTCTGCTGAACTTGGAAAGATCACTGAGGTTGCATGAGTGAACTTGTGATATCTGGACTCCTCTGCAGATCCTATATAACTGTTGATTGTTTACCACCAAATTCAGTGCCGTTGAAACTGGTGCTCAATGTTTCTCATTCCCACTCTTTTTTTTTGGAAAATATAGCGGAGGTTAGTGCTTAACCTCAAAACATTGATATAAATCGATATGGAATCTTTGATTACAGGTATTGCATGTCTTTGTCATGGTTCTCCCTTTTAACTATTCTTACCTTAGAAAGAAATTTGACGTCTTTTTCCCCTTTAAATCATTGCTCTTAGAGGGATATTAGGGATTATCGTAGACGGAATAGTTGTAGTTGCAAGGGGCCGAACATGAACAAGTGTAGTAATTGAATCTGTTTTAAGAAAGTTGCTATTTTACTCGTGTAAAACAATTTATTGATGTTTCAACACACAGCTAAGGACGTCGATCAGTTGGTTAAGAGAATGTTACATTGTGGCTTTTTGATTGTAGAACTATTTGAGGGTGGGTCGACTGAGAAAATGATGGACACTTTACATTTATATGCTTCTTACTTGACACAACCTTTTGAATATACGAAGTGATACAACAGATTATCACAAATGGGTAAAGCGATGTAAATTAAGAATGGTCTGATCTTCTAGATAGACATTATTGTATAGCACCCTTTGATGCCGGATACGAGCAAGAAGTTTTGAGATAACTGGTGTTTTTTGAATTGATAATTTGGTATTCCAAAGTAATAGATTGAACGAGTGGATTCAAAATCCGAAAAAAGAGATGCCAAGTATGCTAAGATTAATTTGCAAAATATATATATTAAATGATGAGACAGATTGTTAAAATGTTTATGACCTACCGTTTAAATGACCATTTATAGTCAATCATATCACCTAGTAAACCAATTTTGTAAACTAAACTTGTCTTAGTAAATCTTACATTACTCTCGATAAAAATATGCACCATCACTTAAAATTCAATATATCTAGATTCATTCTTTACTAATTTTGTAGCCTTTACAAGATTTGCCTTTCGGTCGAACTTGAACTAAGTCTTTTAGGAGAAAGTATATATAAGATAACCCCTATCACCATGTAGAGTAGAAGGCAAGCGCAAGACCCGAGAGATTCAAATAAGATTTGGAATCCCCAACTTGGGCATTGGTCAAGAAACTCTTTGTTAGATCAAAATCTTGGAATGGTTTGGAAATGGAACAGATAACAGATGTGTGTCAATTAACAACTCCAGATCCATGCTATCCAGCAGAACAAAATAAAAACCCAAAACCAGAACAAGAAAGGCCCATATCTTTCAAAAGTAAGCCTCCTATTGACTGAATTTATTCCTGTGTTCCCATCTGCTGAAGTAGAAAGAGCAAAAGAAAAAAAAAACAGGACTTTACATAAATCAAACAAAGACAAAGATCTGATCTGACCACTTGGGTTGCGTGCTCTCTCTCTCTCTCTCTCTCTCTCAGAAACACTTTCTCGGCCGCTCTTTCTAAGTACCCTCATTCTGCTTTACTCTTCTCTTCCACTCTCACTGTCTCTCTTCCAAGCTCGCCGCCTCTCTCTCTCTCTCTTCGCTGGCTGTCCAACCATGGCTATCAACAAAGAATCTGTGCCTCCGCCGGTGATCGGCAAGATTGGACCCTACACGGTGTTCATGACCCCACCATCCACTCCCAAGCCAGCCGAGCCCCCAACTCCCGTTTTCGAACCGCCGAAGAAGGCGGTGCCTCCGCCGGTCCAGCCGCCGCCGCAGCAATTCGAGAAGCCTCCGCAAAATGGGTCCTTTCTGGGGTTCTTCAAGAATGCTGTCAACAGAGTGCAAGATGGTATGGTTGCCCTATAGTCACTTGTGATGATCGTGTTTAGTGTTGTTTGAATTTGGAAGAATGAGAGCCTCTTGTTTGGTTGGTGTGAAAATGGAGCCAATTCAGGGGAAAACTGCGAAAGTTTAAGACTTTAGCTTTGGTGATCTAGTGGTTGATGGCTTGGTTCTTTAAGTTTTGGTTCTAAAGATGGAATTTTTCGAGCGTTGAGTGAATTTCCTTCTAGACTGTATATAGGATCTTTATGATATCTGAGAAGCTTTAACATTTCTTGTTTTGGTTCCTTAAAGTTGGGATTGGGATTGAGGAACATAAAGCTGAGAATTTCTGAGTTTTCCGGCTTGATGAATGAAACCTGGCATGGTGTGATAGAGAAAGCTATTATTTTTGCTTGATTTACTTTCACTTCGAGAAATTTTTGAAGATACCTTGGGTTATTTTTGTAGCTCACTCAAGCTTGGATGACCATGTGGCGCGTTGGTTTGGTTTGAACCAATCGAAGTATCAGTGGGCATTGGACGATTACTATGAAAACAAAGGATTGGTAAGATTCGAGTACTTTTCTGGTGTTTCCTTCTGGACAGGACCCTGCTTGGTGATGCTGGCTTCTGTTTTCTTGTTGAAATTTTATTATTTGAATAATGCATGTTATGAACAATGGTTGACTAGAGTCACTTATGCTTAAAGTTGCTTGGTTTCTATGATGTGCTGCGTACCCCTATTTTATATACTGTTGGCACGTCAACCTCAGCTTTAAATACTGCAATCCACATTCCTAGAAAATGAGAAGCCGCTGAAATGCTACTTTTAGTAATTGAGTGCTCTCAAGATTTTCTCCTATACTTTAAGGTGCTCAACCCTAAATAATGGATCCATTTTTGTATTGAATGAAATTAGATGTCTCAATTTCAGTTCATTGTTGCATGCTTTACATTGTTTCCTTTGGTATATTGTCCAAAATATTAAAATTGCCATGTCATGAGCTATTTTAGTGTTCTAGCAATGCGTATTCACATCCTAACATACATTTAACTAAATGCATATTGTACGGTATGTGGGAGAATACTTGCTATAGGCATAACAGAGTGGTAAACCAAGACATGAGCTATGGGATTCTGCTGATGTACCTTATCCTGCATGGAGCTACAAAATTTATGGTTCCACTCATATTCATCATACCATTCTATATAATGTAACCATGGAAGGACAGGTAGCTCAGAGCTCATAAAAGTAGGGTTGTAAAACACTGCAATATTTCCAAAAATTGCCTTCCTTTTTTTTTTTTTTCAGTATTATAGACATGTTTTGCTTGGTGCTTCTGCCGAACTAGATCTAGATTGAGTAGATCCCTTATTTGTGAATGATTATTGTCCCCAGTAAAGATGATGACTCCCTATTTGTACTGCCAGCCGGCATCTTACTCTAATTTGTTGCTTAGTTGACATAGCTTTCTGCCTTTAAGCAACATAACTAGGCTTGTATTATCTTGAAATGCCATATATATTTACGATAAGAACATCATTAAATGGAAAATACCATGTATGAAATACCCTTTTTCTTTTCCTTTGGGTGTTTTGGGGGAGTTGGGGTGGGTGGGGAAAACCTATCTTAAATAGCCAATCAATTGATTCAAAATGTTAGGTTTGAGATTGTGATTGCTCTGGCTTTTTCCATTTTCTTAGCATTAGGTCCGGGAATTCGACTTTGTATACAATGTACTGCTAAACTGCAACACCGGGAGGTTCTCTTGTTGCATCAATATAGACAACATGACATCGATAACACAAACCTGTTAAGATGATCACCTCCCTAGAACTTGTTGTCAAGATCTTGCTTTCAGAAGTCTTAATATCAGTCTAAGTCTGACATAACTCACCACAACTGAATTAAATTTGAAAATTTTGTAAAAAAGTCATGCTTGGCATTGCGCAATGTAAACTGCCTCTATTTTCTTTTTACAGAACCACTTTCTTTGCATTACTGCATATATTGGATATACCCAAGCTTCTACTTGGTTTGCAAAATTGATGGTTTGAACTTCATTATGCTGTCTGCAGGAAAAGGAATGTATCAAAACTAAAGAAATTTCAAGCAAGCAACAGAATGTGTAACTTACTCAAAGAGGGCAAGATCATTTAGCTTTTCCTCTTGCTTGAATTGCTTATAACATCATAGTTTAGCTCTTGGTTTTGCGTGAAAGCCCCTATGACTTCTCTGTTCTCATGCAGAAACCATGCCGAGTTTAGCAGTGCTTGAACTCTTATTAAGAACTTGTTGCTGATTCAGAGTTATAGGATCTTGGGACCTTCGTTCAGGCAAGGCACCACTCTACTCCTTACTTCCACAATCTTCTAGTTGTGATATAGGTTGAGGTCCTGTCATATCATCTGAAGGCGACTTTTCCCATCAAGATATATCTATGGTAGTCGAATCTAGTTCTGTTCAAATCCTGAAGAGATCGGAATATGTGGACTATTGTTAGTAATTTCTGGTGTTTTATGTTTAAGAATGTGAAAAGTTGGAAAGTTCACACTGATATCCCCAAGAAGTTCATAGTTCTGAATTCTTCGTGTGCTGCTCAGTAGGAACATCTGCAGGACTATTTCTCCTGCATAGTCCCTCTGTTTCGCCTGCTATTACGATAAAATATTCCTGCTCGTGGACTTACAAAGTGAATTCTACTTTTGGGCCTGTTGTTTTTAGTAGTGATTGTGAGTCTCTATTCACACGGACATTTATTCGACTGATTTACTAGAAGAAGTCGCTTATAGATGTTACAGGTTGGAAGTATAATGTCCAGAGTGGTTTGAGTGTTTTTGTTCCATGTTTATCTTTTGTTGGAGCTAGAACTCAATTATTCTCAAATTCTACTTAGTTTGCAGTATTGATGGGTTGTCAAGTCTTTGTGCATCGATACCTCGCCGATGCCTTCTCGTCCTAGTTGCCGGTAGCTATAGAAACTGAAAAAAGAATTGAGATGAATGGTATGAGCAAGTCACCCATCAATGAATTAGTACAAATCCCTTCTAAGGTACCAGATCAAGTATCCACCATGTATATTATAAAAGGTACTAGAAATACATTTATCCAAATTCATTAGATAGTATTTGTATAATATAAAAAATGAGTTATATGATTTCAACAAAGCTTTGCACATATTCATACCATTAACCATATCAAAGTAAACACCAGTGGTCCAGTCCATTGACTAAGGCCACGCTTGACACCCCATGACTTATATCATGCCAAGATTTTCGCTTGGCGTAAGGCTCTACTTATATCAGCCGGTGGTTTGGCCCAATAGAATGTCTTGAAAATAATTTGCATACTTGCAATCCCTCAATGTTTCTATGGTCATTCGTGCTATGATGGTGATGGTCATAAAACAATCAACTCATCTTGCAATCACGAACGAATTCAAAATTTGCTTCGTAAATTAAGTTCAAACACCAATGCATTTGACCTCTCGCTATTCATTCCATCAAACAAGAGTTCTTTGCCGTTTTAAATCACAAAAAAGGTTGTAAATATCCGATCCATCTTTAGGAAGCAAATATATTCTAAACAACACTTTTCCTTTTTAATATACATCATGTCATGTGATGCCTGTTTCATATCTTATAATACATCTATCTCTTATAATTTTTCAAAACATGAGTTTCTAATTCATAAAAAAGATAAGTCCACTCACCCAAAAATGTGAAACCAAACAACAAAAGCTACCTCGAGCGGAACTCAAAATCCTATTCTTGAAGTGGGAAACGGATATGAAAGTCAAGTAGATAACTATTTTAACTAAGACTCAACCAAACTAAGCTTATTTGATAACAAAAGGACTCTGACGTGCCAATAAAAGCTTGCCTAAAGCAAAACAACTACTGTTGTCCGCTGTACAACGGTAGCTCACGTGCCGAATTTAAAACGGTTTATTTGAACTCTACCAACATATATTCTAGGTGGGTCTGGGGTCATTGGAAAGCTAACCTGACTTACTTAAAAGTCGAACTTTGCCCCTAACCCAAAAGATGGCAGCGGAGACTAGGGGTGTGCAACCGGACCGGATTTACCCGGAAACCGGATCGACCCACTCGAAAAATAGGTCCAGGAACCGGTTCCCGTTTGAACCGGTTCGGGAACCGGTTCTATTTTTTGGGAATCGGTTAGAACCGGTCCGGTTTCCGGTTCCAATTCCAAGTGAAAATCCACCCGGACCGGTTTTAGAACTGATTTTATATGGAGGTCCACTTGCAATTTTACATGGCAAGAATTCAAAGCATTCTATCATAAAGGATGAAGAATGTGATCATTATTTGCGGATAGTCTAACTCAAGGGCTTATAAATATTATAGGGATCAATTTCTTCTTTCTTAAATTTTTGTTCTGTAACAAAGAAACTACATATCCAACTGGAATTTATGCTATTTTATCACATTTATTAAATTATTGGGATTAAGATAATATGCTTTTGTATGAATACTTAAGATTATTTGCATAGTCAAACTTATAACCTTTGATTTGAGTTATAAGTTTTCCTATTTGCTACCCAGAAAAAATGAAACCAAAAAAAGGAACCAAAAAAAAGGGGTTCTCGGGTAGATCCTGTAACTGGACCGAAAAAACAGGGTAGGTTTCAAAACAGAATCCAGGGCAAACATGGTAGATTTCAGGTTCCAAAAACTAGGAATCGGTTATAACAGAGTTGATTTCAGGTTTCAGGTCTGGAACCGACCCACCTTAGAACCAATCACCCCTAGCGGAGACTAGTGGAAACCGGCGCCATACACAGTGGTTCAAATATGGTTTCGTTAGTGCTTGACAAACTTTAAAATTTCAGCTCAACAAAACTGTAACCCCAAATCATACGGTTCCACAACATCCTAAAATATCTTCCTGACAAAATTTCACAGCTCAACGACCTCTAAAGTCAATCCAACAACTCGAAATTCAACACGATCCGAAATTATGGCTTTGCGAAGGAATTTTCTTTGATTAAAGGAATCAAGGCTTGAAATTCTTACTTATGTCTGGGGTTTGCGTGGACGAAATCTCGCGTTTCTCTCTCACGGTTCCCTCTCTCCTCTGTTTTTCTTTTGCTGACCCTCCTCTCTTTCTTATTTCTTCTCTTTTATTTTCCTTTGAGGAACCAGCTGCAGAAGTAACAAAAGATGGGTCGTCTAGAATGGCGAGCTTCAAATCGAGGCTTAAGCCCTGGAAGATAAATGGCCTTTCAACAAGCGGATTGACTCTTGATCCTTGATGAATTTTAGGGCTAAACAAGTTTGGTCCCAGTATTAACTATATTCCGAGCTGCGAAAAAAGATTGTTTGACAAACGATGTCGGTTCGAGGACGTTGCATTCACTTTTCTGGGAAGACTTTGTTCGACTGGTCGTGTTTGTAATGAAATAGCCTTGTTCCAAATGGCCAGCCAAGTTGGTTTAATCGCGAGGGCGATTGAGCTCAAGAAGCAAATTCCCTTTCGGCTTTATTCGCGCATCTTTCTGTATTCAGCTATAACAAGATCGACAAACAGATTCGATACGAGCATCTACCACTTTCTAAATCACCTGAGAAAACTTTGTAACCGGAAGGCCTTCCTTAATTCTAAATGAGCAGGTGCTATTTTGCATAATTTGAATAGCATCTTTGGCTACAAAGAAAGAAATCTCAGACGGGATCTGCAACATTGTGTGGCCAAGCATTCCACCAACCAAATGATCAAAACGACAATCAATTTCCAGACCGAGACCAAGCTATGTGGCACGAGAATCATGCAAAACGAACGGAGTGGGACTTTTAGAAGAAAGGTGGGTCTCACCTCACGTAAGGCCTTTTCAAGGTCTAATCCAACGGCTGTAAGTCACTGTAGACACATATCGCGGGTTGAATTTCCCTCTTTAGGCCATGGTCCAAAGTACGCGCCCAAATGTGAAATTTGGCAACAATGACAACGTGCAGGTTTTCATGAGGAAAAGTGTAAAAAAAAAGTCATAAATCTTTGGCATTAGTGTTAATTTAGTCCTAAACCTTTTTTTGGTGCTGATTCAGTCCTAAACCTTTGGCATTGGTGCCAATTTAGTTCTAAACCTTTTTTTGGTGCCAATTCAATCATAAACCTTTTGCATTAGTACCAATTCAGTCCTAAACCTTTTTTCTTTGTGCCAATTTAGTCCTTTCGGCTAATTTTGGTCGAATTTTACTGATGTGAACGCTGGCCGTTCACCGGCGCCGACATAGATAAATTTTAATAATATTTTAATACATTTTTGAATTATTATTATTATTATTTTTCCCCTCCTCTCCCTCCTTCCTCAAGCCGGTCGACCTCGCCAGATCCGGCGAGGTCGAGCCTCACCCAGCCGCAGGCGAGGGCCTTCGACCTTGCGGCCTCCGGCGAGGGCTCGAGCCTCGCCCCGGCCGGGCGAGGCGAGGCCTCGACCTTGCGGAGGTCACGAGGCTCGAGCCTCCGGCCGGGCGAGGCGGCTCGAGCCTCACGATCGGTGGCCCGGGCGAAGGGCCCAGCCTCAGCCATCGGGCGAGGGCGAGCCTCGCCGGCCTCTGGCCGGTCGCCAGTTCAGCGACCGACTGAAGGAAGGAGGGAGGGGAGGAAAAGAAAAAGAAAAAGAATAAATAAAGTTTCAAAAAATATAAAAATATTATTAAAAGTTGCTTATGTCAGTGCCAGTGGCCGGTTGATGTCCATGTCAGCAAAATCCAGCCAAAATTAACCGGAAGGACTGAATTGGCACAAAAACAAAAGGTTTAAGACTGAATTGGCACAAAAAAAAGGTTTAGGACTAAATTGGTACAAATGCAAAAGATTTAGGACTTTTTTGACACTTTTCCCGGTTTTCAAGTATCCTTTTGACCAAAAAAACACAAGACTTGTAGTGCTTGTGAGCTACTGTGTTTGGTTCTCAGGCCGATTGGGACCACTCATTCCTAATAACTTGACAATTGAGAAAGGGAATCATAAAAGTTACCCTACCAGTGCAATGAAGCATTGTTCTCCACAACAAGAGAAAATATTTAGTACTTTCAAAACGCCACAGAATTGAATTGAGCCTACCACGTTCTCATGTTACAATCTTTTCTCTTATTTCGCACTACTTCGATTAAAGTGGCTTCTTCGTATTCTTTAGTGCATAATTGGAAAAATTACCAAAAAAGTCCAAAACCCATCAGACGGATTCCAGTTCAGTCTCATACTTTTCAATTTGGCCAATTTAGTCCTGAACCTTTTGATAATTTGTTCATGTAGTCCTTTCGGTCAATTTTATTCGAAAATCGCTAACACGGACTCCGGCTATATTATTTGACACGATCAGAACTGACGTGGAATTTTTCAATTTTTAAAAATTTTCTTGTGCTTTTTTTTTTTTTCCATTATGGCCAACAAGGGGTTAGGGCCTTAGCAATGGCCGGTCACTGGACGAGGGCTTTCAAGCCCTTGATAGCCGCTGGCAAAGGTCGTGGCCCTCGCTGGCTGCGAGCGAGGGCTGTGACCTTCGCCAACTGTCGTCTGCCATAGTGGAAAAAAATGAAAAAAATTGTTAATATCAGTGCTGGCCGTCGTTGGCTATGCCACGTAAGATGGAAAGCATTTACGTCAGTGATTTCCGATCAAAATTGATTGGAAGGACTACATTGATAGATTGTCAAAATATTTAGGACTAAATTTATCAAATTGAAATGTTTAGAACTGAATTGATCTCCGTACAATATATTTATGATTTTTTTGGTAATTAAACCGCATAAAGACTTCCAATTCTAAATCGATAGATTAATTACAATCCACTTATAATTACTTATACCAATCCAATCGAGTATCGCGAGAACACTTGCTAGCGGGCACCTGAAAATCAGTTGAAGTACGGTATGGA